ATCACTACGGAAGTAGATTGCCCCATCTTCCTTCCGAGGAGTGGGGTGGGTTTGAACCACCAGCCTTCTGGTCAGCAGTCAAGTGCTTTAGGCACTACACTACCAGAGCTCATATATATATAATATGTATTAAAGAATATAGGGTAAAACTTGAAAACAATAAGCTGGCTTCCTGCACTAAGGAGGCTTACTGTACATCAGGAGTGCAAGCAGAACAAAACTTCAAAGACAGGTAAACATTCTAAACCTGGGTCATCTTTGTGGTGTTGATCAATACAGAACATCTCCTTATCAACCACAGCTGTGACTCTGACATTAGCTGACTCACTTCCATAACTTCTTGACTGATGAAAGATCCCATAATTTTTTTTTTTTTTTTTTTTCTTTGCTGAGTCTCTTGGGTCTTCTATGTATAGGATGATATCATCAGCAAGTAGGGATGATTTTGGAGTCTTTTTAATCCCCCAAATTAAATAATTAATTTACAGTTCATGGTTCCTACAGGATTTAATTTTTTTTTTTTTTTTTTTTTATCTAAAGAAACCCTCATTTAGAATCTTCCTCACTCTGCTCCTTGCCCTGCTATCTGAACTGAGGAGGCTGGTTTCTGGGTTGAGATCAGATTTTGTAGTTGGCACCTAACAACAACATCACTCCTTTGAGAGAGTCTGCCATCAGCCTCTCTCCATTCACAGCTGAACTCATTTAGAGTACTTTATATTTCTCTCAGGCATGCCTCAACAAATATTTCAGTGCCTACTATGTGCCAGCCACCTTCTGCTCTCATTCTCTCCTTAACTCAATGAAGTCAGGCTTCTTTGTTATTGTTTTTAGTTGCCACCAAGTCAACTGTGACTCTTAGTTATCTTATGATTTCTAATAGAACAGAATGTTACCAGCTACTATACCATTGTCACAATTGTTGACATGTTCAAGTACACTGTTGTGGCCACTTTATTGTGAGTGCCTTTCAACATAAGGGGAATATCAGATAATATTCTGTTGTGAACTTTAAGGTTTTCATTGGCTAATTTTTGAAGTAGATTGCTAGGCCTTTCTTCCTTGTCTTTCTGGATCTGGAAGCTCTGCTGAAACCTGTCTGCCATGGGTGAATCTGCTAGTATTTGAAATACTGGTGGCATAGCTTCTGGCATCACAGCAATATGCAAGCTACCATTGTACAACAGATGTCTTTACCCATCAGTAGCCTTTCCAATAATTTTTCTTTTTGGAGTTGGACAGTATTGACTGCTCTTTCCTCAAAGCACTCCTTTCCTTGGTTCCCTCCGGACATCACTCTTTGGTTAACTTTCTACTTTTCTGATCATTTCTTAACCATTTTCATGGTTTTCTTTCTTCTGCCCACTTAAATGCTGGTGTCCCCAAGGATGTTGTCATTATTTGCCTTCTTAGTCTATAGTTTCAGTGGGCAATCTCAATCCAGTTAGTAGCTCCACTCTCACTCCTCTCTCATGAAGTGCTTATGTTCAGTAGCCTCATCCAGGAAGACATACAGACTTCTCAGACTCATTATGTCCAAACCCAGTCTAATCTTCCTCTGTTCAAATTCTTCGTAGATTCAGTAATAATGACACCATTCATGCAACAAACCTCCAACTCCATGTCATCTTTTCTTGGACTATTGCAGTTTTCTCAAACATTGGTGCATACAGTACATAGAAAATACATTTAACCTACTTCATTAGTTGGGGTGTTTGGGGAAGGCAGGGATTGAGGCCTGATTTGAGACTTGATAAAGATGAAGACGCACAGGAGGAAAAAATGAACTATCTATGTTCATGAATAGATAAAAGGTTGTAAAGTTGTCTGAAATTGTTGTAAAATTGATCTGAAAACTCAATGACATTTCCAAGAGAAATTTCAACAGAGGTTTTATTGAACTTGACAGGCAAAAATTTATAGGGAATAGCAAAGGATTAAGAATAGCCACCATACTTCTAAATGTGAAGGGGTTGTAGAGATTTACCTTACAATTTTGTTTCCGTGTAGAGATAATGTCATATGTGGTACAGAGGTAGGCATTCTAAACAGTTGGACAAAATAAGGAGCCTGGAAACTAACCCATGTAGTTTATAGTGATGAAAAAATCACATCGATTAAGAGTAAGATTATATAGCTGATTAATGTAATTGCTGTTAAGTTGTTATTGTTGTTGTTATGTGCCGTTGAGTTGGACCCAACTCATAGCGACCCCTCCTTGGGTTTCTGAGGCAGAATCACTATGGAA